GGACCTCTGACAGATACGAAGAAGAAATATAACCACATTCTGGCGGTCGTTGATGGATTTTCAAAATTTGTTTGGCTTTATCCTACAAAATCGACGGGATCAGAGGAAGTCCTAGAAAAGCTCGAGAAGCAAGCAGCAGTCTTTGGAAACCCTCGCCGAATAGTTACTGACAGGGGAACTGCATTCACTTCTGGACTGTTCAAGGAGTACTGCAGCCGCGAAGGAATTCAACTACTTCACATTACCACAGGCATGCCTAGGGGCAACGGTCAGGTGGAAAGAATCCACAAAATTGTGATCCCGATGTTGAGCAAGATTTGCCAAGAAAACCCAGCAAATTGGTATCGGCACGTAGACAGAGTTCAACAAATAATAAACAGCACTCCACCTCGAACTACCAAGTATAATCCGTTAAAAATTTTGACTGGATTAAATATGCGAAAGAAAGACGATGATTTAAGAAAACTTTTTGAAGACTTAGGTATAGAAGAGATAAGTAAGGAGCGAGAAGAAATACGTGAAAAAGCTCAGGAAAATATTGAGAAGGTGCAGCAAGAGAACCGAAAGAACTTTAATGAGAAAAGAAAAGTTGAAATTGATTATACTGTAGGAGAATTAGTAGCAATTAAAAGGACACAGTATGGAACTGGAATGAAACTTCGTCCTAAATTTTTCGGACCGTATAAAATAGTCAAAAAACTGAATCATGGGCGCTATGAAGTTCAGAAAGAAGGCAACCAGGAGGGACCGAAACTAACTACAACAGCTGCAGAATATATGAAAAAATGGGGTTCATTTCGCGACACTATATTGCACCAAGCTTAGTTGATGCCGAACAATTGACAAAGCAGGTCGAAGTGTCCATAGTGCGAAAGTCGTAAAAGCCGAATAGTGGTCTTTAATTGTTTAATTTGAAACCTTGTAAAATACCCGAAATAAAATAAATAATATTTAATTTGTAATACCCTACACCTACATACTAAACCTTCTTTTAGTCCTAGAACATTTACTTCTTCGCGGGACTCTTGTCTGGGCGCATCCCTCCCGCCCTCGGATCGCCCAGCCGACCGTTTTCCGCGCAATCCGGACATTTCGGAGACACGGTGTCTGGCCTTCCGCATCGGTAGCAGAACAGGCGCCGCTCTGTTGCCGTGCAGTCACGGAACCCGTGGTCTACGGCTCCGCAATTCCAGCAGCCCGCTCGGAACGGATTTCGGGTCTTGGCTTGTAACGCCTCCACCTGCCACTGGGAATCCTCTGCAGTGTCGGGACCAGCTGCCTCGCAAACCCTGGCCTTCTCCGCCGGATGATAACGCATCGGGTGCGCATAGGCCGCGCGTCCTCGTCGTCCAAAATTGCGCTCCACCTCGCAGCACTCTTCCCTTAACTGGTCCACAGTCATCACATCCATTGCGTAAACAAATCTTGCAATACCCTCTCTCAAGCCCTTTTTAATTATTTTTACCATCTGTCGCTCTGACAGTGGTTTTTTTAGGCGAGAAGCTAGCTGCTGCATCGCATGGACATAGTCCTCCACGGCTTCTCCCGGCTGCTGCTCCCTCTACAGAAGCTGATGCATCCGATCGTGCTCCGTCTGGTGGCCTCGGAACCTGTCCATCAGCGCGGCACGCAGCTGTGGCCATCTTTCCACCCTGCAGTGACGCACGTGGACCCAATACCACTCGCGTGCCCGTCCGGTTAGCAGCACATGGAAATGGCGAAGCACTTCCTGCCAAGGGCACTGGTACTGCCGCTGCAGGAACTCGAGCCGGAACAGGAAATCCTCCACCGAGTTTCGCTCGTCCTCGCCATCAAAAGTAACGCCCCACCGCTCGATGCGAACCTGTTGGCTGCCGCCACCTAGCCCTGTATTGGCATATAAACGAGGCTCCTCGCGGAAATCGGAAGCCCTCCGGTCCTCGAAGTGCCAATTTCGAGGCTCGTTGCGTAGCCCTCGTTCGCTATCCAGAGGATATCCTGGACTGCTGCTCTCCACCGGAAACGACTCCAAGGGCCTTCTAGGCGGCTTAGGTGGAACCTTTGGTGGGGGTGGACGGGAGCCAATCGTACTTGCTGATGGTGCCGTCTTTGGAATTGCCCCTTCTGGACCAGACTTGGAGCCTGTGGTGCCGCCGTGTCCGTCCAACCCGGATGTTGCTGCTGATCGGTATTGTTCCCCTGTGGAAGCTGCGGCCGCTGAGCAACAGGCCTTAACACCTCGTTCATCAGCTTCATCATTTCCAGGAACCCACCTCGGATTTCATCCCTTAAGGACTGGCTGACGTCGGACTCCTGAGCCTTTCGATGGGTCTCTGCAGCCTGGGCCAATGCAACGTTTACAGCCGATTTCGCCGCGTTGTCCAGAAACGCCTCCGAGCTCACTTGCTCCAGAACTTGATGTTGTGTGGGATCTGTTCCCATCTGAAGTTCCCTGCGCAGCTCCTGATGAAGACGACCCAACAGAGTCCTTGGCAGTCCCATCGATATCCGTGGCTGTTCGGCCCCGGCAACCTCATCTAAATCGGTGGACCACAATTTCTCCTCTTCCTCGGCCGGAAGAACCTTCGATCGGAGATCGTAATTGGAAGGCATCGTACAGCACAACAAAAAAAATATATGTATATTTCCCTAAAAATTCTAATATAGCACCCGAAACAAATCACCAAAAGAAATAAATACTTAAGAAGAAAAACAAGAGAGAACGCTATAGTCGGGTGCCCCGACTATCAGATACCCGTTACTCAGGTAAAGGGAGTGCGAGGGAGATGGAGATAGAAACTTTGATCACGCATAACTTTTTAACAAATGGTCCGATTTGAAAAATTTATTCTACATTTCGATAGGTATTGATAAACACAATAAAACTGCATTTTTACTTCTCCGAAATATTTAAATTTTTAAAATCGTATATGAGCGATTGTGGGCGTTAAAAGGGGCGTGGCACCTTTTTGAAATAAACTTGCGCTGCGTAGGAACTCCTAGAATCTGCATGCAAAATGCCAATCTTCTAGCTTTTATAGTTTCCGAGATCTCAGCGTTCATACGGACGGACAGACAGACGGACAAACAGACAGACGGACAGACGGACATGGCTATATCGACTCGGCTAGTGACCCTGATCAAGAATATATATACTTTATAGGGTCGGAAACGCTTCCTTCTAGCTGTTACATACTTTTGCACGAATACAATATACCCTTTTACTCTACGAGTAACGGGTATAATAAATATAATAACGACAAGTAAATAATAAATAAACAGATAAATATATATACATGTAAGAACAGATAATACTTATTGAAACAAATTTTTAAATAAATAAATAAATGTATAATTTTAGGAAAGATATTTATAAATTTTTTTGTAAATAAATAAATACTTGGGAAAATGAATAAATAATTTAGATAAATAAATGGAATTAATAAATAGAATAAATAAATAGATAAATAAATAATATATTATATTTATGATTTTTCCATTTTATTTTGCTTCTTTTAAGATTTGAATTTGGGGAGATGGAACCGGTCACCAGCCGGTGGACTCCGTGCCGAAAACTTTTCTGCGCTTAATTATTTTATTTCCCGTCATATGTCCTTCCACACGCCGCTCGTCAACTGGACTGGTTATCAACTATGTTGATAGCCGCCAGTTAAGGACATCGGCTGCTCGTTGAATCCTTTTTGATTTTTTTGCGCGTATGTTTTGATTCTCAGGTCGTGGTGATCGTGCAGCTCGTGTCCATCACGGGTCACGATCACACATTTAAGTTCAAAACCGAGATGAAAAATCAAACACACCCACGAAACCAAAACAAAGGATAAACTTCTACTCTCACAACAAAAATATAACAAAACAAATTACTTTACATCAAATAAATAACTAACTAAACCGTACCTAATTTATCACAGATTTTTTTATCACAGATTTTAATCACAGATTTAGCTATCAGCAGGTGCAAATCTTGTCCCTTTTGGGCCAAGATGCCACCCGCAGGTCACCGCTGCTTCTGCGATCTGTGACCAGGAGCAAATTGCCTCCAGTCTGGGCAAGCCTCCTGTCTGCTCTAAATCCTACCGTGCTCTCTTAATTTTCCCCCAGCCCACCACTTCCGATGCAGTTGCATGCAACTTGTATTGCCCTGCAAGTCACCGGTCGTGTTGGCTGAGGGGAAAAGAAAAAGGCAAATCGGTGAGACGCCGTCGTCCCGACAATTTATATATTTTATTTAGTTTGGGCGCCATAATGTTACGGAACTGCATATTGTTCTCCCTGGGACGGCCCCGGCTAGCTCCGGAATCCTCAGGGCGGAGTTCCCCCAATGTCCCTACAGCCCCACAACATTAAATATCGATTACTATCGACGTCTCACACTACAAATACTAACATCTCTAACAACAAAAAAAAGGTAAACAAGAAAGGAAAGCTAACTTCGGGCGGAGCCGAAGTTGATATACCCTTGCAGATAACTCTGTAAATTATATTCTCCAAAATTATTCATAAGATGCATTCTTAATACTCATAAAAAATCCCAACTTCCTAACTTTAAAAACACCAAAGTTATGGCATTTCCAATCGTTCAGTTATATGGCAGCTATAGGATATAGTCGGCCGATCCCTTTTAAATTTGGTGGGTCGAATTGATTGGCCAAATAACTTTACAAACACCAAAGTTATGGCATTTCCGATCATTCAGTTATATGGCAGCTATAGGATATAGTCGGCCGATCCCGGCCGTTCCGACATATATACTGCGTGCAAAGGAAAGAAGGGTGTGTGCAAAGTTTCAACTCGATAGCATTAAAACTGAGAGACTAGTTTGCGTAGAAACAGACAGACGGACAGACGGACATGGCTATATCAACTCAGGAGGTGATCCTGATCAAGAATATATATATTATAGGGTCGGAGATGTCTCCTTCACTGCGTTGCACACTTTTGACCAAAATTATAATACCCTCTGCAAGGGTATAAAAAGACAAAATAAACAAACCGGGACAAATATGACGGAAAAGTGGCATTGGATGTGGCTGCCACAGCGCACCCACCCTTCCTGTGGTGCCCCTAGCGTCGCGAGGGAGGCACCACCCATGTTCCAAGGCCGGAGCCACTGCCAGGCCAGACTACGACCGGTTCATCTCCCCGCTGGAAATAGCCTTAGGCCCACATCATCTTCATCTCCATTCTAAGTACATTTATTTATAAATATATACATAAGATTGCCAAATATAAACGTTAAGTATATCCTCTCCTCTTTATACCATTTCTTACAGGTCAGGGCAAAACCACTACCCGGCCTGGACTGCACCAGCTGCAAGGCCTTCTTAAAATCGAAAATTTGGCCCCGCAGAAAATTTTAAGCCAAGTGGCTGTCATTCATCAAACACCTCTTTTCTCTCCTAATTACCCTGCTGGAGCTCCAAGAGGACACAAAAGGGACAGGTAAATATAAATAAATAAATTGTATTGAGTTCTGCTAAGCCCGCTTTCGAAATTTCAGACCCCGAGTTAGCGCAAGGCCAGACTCAAGCTCGCGGAATCACGAAGACTTACAGAAACGGACGAGTCGAGTACGCAAATTTACGAATACAAAAATTAATCTTAAAATCTAATCACAGGCGCGGCGAGAAAGCCGGCTGCGGGTCGCCGAAGGACGACTTGGGACCCTTATAAAGGGACGTGGCGGTCCGGAAACCGGTATTACGCCCTGCCTCGGCCACTGCAGACCGTGACGTCGGAGATGCTGCGTTGTATGGGAGTCGCGTCGTGTTCGAGACGTTGTGCGGCTCGGGTTCGACGTGCCCGGAACGGACTCACCGAGGTAATGTAGATAAGCTCAACTGCCTGTGGCGGTGTTGGTTGGTGTTGATGGCTATGGCTGTGGCTGCTGCCTGCGGCTGTCGCTGCTGCCTGTGGCTGTCGCTGCTGCCTGCGGCTGTCGCTGCTGCCGGTGGCTGTTGCTCCTGCCGGTGGCTGTTGCTGCTGCCGGTGGCTGTTGCTGCTGCCGGTGGCTGTTGCTGCTGCCGGTGGCTGTTGCTGCTGCCGGTGGCTGTTGCTGCTGAGCACTACCACGAGGGCTGCTGCCCTTCCTCCGAGAATATTGTGAAAAAAACGAAGAAAATCACAGAAACTGCCGGGGCCCTATGTACTAGGGTCCCCGGTGGACCTAAAATAAATAAATTTCCACTTAATTTTCTAACTTTACTCGCACTAATCGAGTAATCTGATTGGTTACCCTTCAGATGCAATTTCGAAATCAGCAGTTGACGTCGCCTTTCAGCTTCTCCGTAGAATGCTCTCAGAATTCCTTTGTAAGGTGTCTCCCTGAAGTTCTCCAGTAGTTTGTAGTTCGGTGTTTGGGGTTTAAATTCTGCAACTAGTCTCGATCTAATGGTAGGCCAATCTTCGATGTTCGGAAGGCCCAACGATCGTGTTACGTGTCCGTCCAAGTTTCTTTCGATGACTCCGAGTAGAATCCTCAGTTGTCGCACATCATTAGTTTGATAGAGTAAAATTACACGATTTGGGGTGCGGCGAAATTTGGTTGTGCCATTGTTATTGTAAAGTTGTAATTTTTTTGTTACAGTAAAAATACAAATTTTGTTTTATTTTTATTTTGATTTCACTTATTTAAGTTGTAGTGTTTATCTAATTTAATTTTCATAAAATGGTATATGTATTTTAACTATTAGTTGCATTTGGACTTATTGTTTTTTTATTTATTTATTCTTCCACTTTTTGTTGGACAACCGAATCGGAATTCTAATCCAATTAGGGGTTATCCGGGTCTTGACACTTCAAAAAATTCTTTTTTTTCAAACTTTTTTATATAATAGTACAAAGTTTCAGGAATGTTGTTTGAAAATTTCAAGTCGATCAAAGCAAAACTGTAGGAATGGGAGAAATTTAAAGCCCAGCGCGTCGAACGTCACAACGGGCAATTCGGGCTCTGGCGTCGGGCAGATGCAGCATTTTTAACGCGTTTTTCCCAAAACCACTCTTTTGAAGTCGGTAGTCACGATTTCTCAAAAACTATTGCACCGATCAAATTCTGCTTTTGCACACTTCTTTTAGACATAATTCTCTTGTCCTTAACGGAGGAATTTTTAAAATTTTTAATTACAACTCATTTTATAATCCAAAATATGGCCAAAATGTACGTAAAAAATGACACTTTTTATGAAAAGCGCTACAAAAAATTCAATTTTTAATTTTAAAAAAAATGGCTCGTAGACGACAAGCGAGACACATACACTATCAGAATAATTTTTTTGTTTTTTGATTTAAGATAAAAATTAACGGAGATATTTTGCCTACCGCAAAGACACAATTTTTTATGAGGTCAAGTTAAAGCCTGCCTCAACGGCTCAATTTTAAAAAATGTTGGCTCAAATTTGATGTTGGTCAAACCATAAACATTAATGTACAATAAATGAAATTTGTGAAATTGTCGTAAGATCTTTTAAAAAAATTCACGAAAATAGGCTTTTTTCGTGCTTCAAGACCCGGATAACCCCTTAATTATTTATCGAGAACTGGATTATAAAATTCAATTTATTTTCCACTTTTTTTTTTCTTTTATTTAACTTTGCTTTTATTTATTGAATCTTCTCTTAATTTTGAGACTAACAATAAGTTTACGAATCTTAACATTAAAATTTAACTTAACAGTATAATAAGACTGCATTCTGGTTGCGCGTGCCTCAAGTCGGTCGCTGGGTGAGTAAGTCATTGCGACGAAGGCGTGATTGGTTGATCAACCTTGTAAGACCTCTCGCCAGGTGGTTAGGGTGCAATGATAGCTTGGTAAAGTACTTTTCCTTCTGTTCTGCGACCACTTCTTTGACTGGTAGAATGTTTAAGTCGCGATGTATGTTTTCGTTGCGAACGTACCACGGTGCCCCGGTGATTGTTCTCAAGATCTTCGACTGAGCTCGCTGGACTATGTCAATATTGCTATTGCTCGCATTCCCCCATAACTGGGAGCCGTAAATCCATATAGGTTTTAGTACCGAGTTATACAGCAGGACTTTATATTCAAGACAAGACTAAGGGGAGACCGAGCGTTGATAAGCCAATGAAGGCTACTGGCTTTTAGCTTTAGGTGTGTCCTTTGGCTTCAATGTGCCGGCGCCATGTGAGTCTTCTGTCGAGGTGTACTCCTAGATATGTCGCTTCGTTTGCTTGCGGGAGTAGAGTATGGTTTAACATGAGCGGCGGGCAGTTTTGCCTGTTCAGGGTGAACGTAACGTGCTTGCATTTTTGTTCCTTCACTTTAATTCGCCAATCTGATAGCCACTTTTCAACATCGACCAGATGAAGAGCGAGCTGCGCAGTTGCTTGCATCGGGCATTTTGAGCGGCTGAGAATGGCTGTATCATCAGCAAACGTAGATGTTGTTAGTCGTGTGCTTGTTGGGATGTCTGCTGTGTAGAGGACATATAATGTTGGCCCAAGCACGCTTCCTTGATGTGACGGAATTCCTTCCTGGATTCTTAGGTATGTGTTTATCCGTGGCAATACGCATTTTTCAAAGAGTTTAGATAAGCATGAGAGTAGGCTTATAGGTCTATACGACGTGGGAATTGTGTGGTCTTTTCCTGGCTTTGCTATCATTTTTATAATCGTCTTTTTCCATCTCACTGGAAAGTGGCTAAGTTTTGCGATGGCATTAAAAAGCTGGGCGCAATATGGGAGCTCAATGATCATTTTGGGAGTTATGAGGTCGCACCCCTGGGGATTTTTTCGGATTCAGCTGATTTTTGATGATGCTAACGATTTCGTTTGGGCGAAACTCAATTGGTTCATGTTGAAGCTGAGGCTCATGTGGTAAAGTCGGCAAGGTGAACGCACTAGTGGCAGGATTTGGTTGGAAGACTTTTTAAGGTGGTTGGCAAACGTGCTGGCTCTGTCTGCATCGCTGCGCGCCCAGCCGCCTGGGGGATTTCTAATAGGCATCACGGTTACTTTCGGTGAGCTTAGAGTAGGGTGAGCTCTCCATAGTGAGTGTTTTGTACTAGATGTTGACAATTGCTCTATGTAGCGTCGGTGGACCTGTGCTTCTTCTTGCTGTAAAGCTTTTGTGAGTTGACGTGAGGCATATTTTAAGCTTTGCCTAGCAGATGGCGATCTGTGGAGTTGCCACTCTCGACGTAAGCGTCGCTTTTCGAGGACGAGCTGTTCTATTTGTAGATTTGTCTTCTTTTGGTTGCTTTGCGTACTTGTAATTTGGGGTGTTAAAACTCGAGCTGCAGAGACGAGTACAGACTCCAGTGTATTAACAAATCTGTCTACGTTGGCTTCATCGTTGAGATGAGGACTTAGCTCAATGTGTGAGCTAATGTATTTCTTGTACTTAACCCAATTGGTTTTCTGAGATGTCAATTTAAACGTTTGCTCCAATGCGCATGGATGTCGCAGTAGAATAAACAGGACAGGCGAGTGATCCGATGAAAGATCCGAGAGGCACATTTAGGAATGTTTTTGGTAATTGCAAAGTCTATTAAATCGGGTAGTTTCCTTGGGTCTGCCGGCCAGTATGTTGGTCTGCCAGGAGAAACATAGTCCAGCTTTTTCTTCGCTTTTATAACTGCATTATAGAGCTGTTTATACCCGTTACTCGTAGAGTAAAAGGGTATATTGTATTCGTGCAAAAGTATGTAAGCGTTTCCGACCCTATAAAGTATATATATTCTTGTTCAGGATCACTAGCCAAGTCGATCTAGCTATGTCCGTCTGTCCGTCTGTCTGTCCGTCTGTCTGTCCGTCTGTCTGTCCGTCTGTCTGTCCGTCTGTCTGTCCGTCTGTCTGTCCGTCTGTCTGTCCGTCTGTCTGTCCGTCTGTCTGTCTGTCCGTCTGTCTGTCCGTCTGTCCGTCTGTCTGTCTGTCCGTATGAACGCTGAGATCTCGGAAACTATAAAAGCTTGAAGATTGGCATTTTGCATGTAGATTTTAGGAGCTCCTACGCAGCGCAAGTTTGTTTCAAAATGGTGCCACGCCCCCTCTGACGCCCACAAGCCACAAGCTGTGGCCACAGTTTTGATGCTATTATGAAAATTGATATGTATTTGTTTCGTCAATACCTATCGATTGGCCTAATAAAAGTTTGCCACGCCCACTCTAACGCCCAAAAACCCATTAAACCTTTAAGCCTGGCTAGCGCCTATATTGCCGCATTTCATGGCCCGTGGTACCAATGTCTTAGGGTTGATGGCGCAATACAATAGCGCCATCTAACGTGTGACTTTGGAACAGCTGGTCAAGGTGCTCAACAGAGTCAACGTTAATTCTCGATAAGGATTTCTATTAAAGGAAATTGCGATGGTTTTCATTTGTCAATACCGAACTATATCCCAAGAACTATGCAAATCAAATCAAGTTAGCCAAATTGGAGGTCTGAGTCAAACAATGGCGTATGTGTGTATGCTGGTGCAGGACAAAAGCTGCCTGCGCTAAAGCAGCGCTGGTGCTGATGCTCGTGCTGTAAAGCTGCCAGCTCTAAGAGATCGCCGAATTCAAATTGATAATTTTAACTTTTTGTCCTTTTTTCCTGTGGTCACTCTAATTCACATTATGTAAATGCAAAATCTAAAGTTGTTTAGCTGAGTAACGG